CTCACCCGGCCACCCCGCGCCTGCCGGCCCGGGCGGAGGCAGGAGGCCACTGCGGGCGCAGCCCCGGCTCACCCGGATGATGCCCTGGCAGGTGGCGAGGGGCAGCCCCACCAGGCTCGTCCCGTTGACCGACATGAGGCGGTCCCCGATGCTCAGCTCGCCCGACCTCTCCGCGGGGCCCCCGTGCATCAGGTTGGCGATGACCACTGTGGGCAGGATGGAGCCCCAGCCTGACTCCACGATGGCGATGCCCAGGATATCCCCCTTCTGCTTCCGAATGCAAACCTGGGGAGCGGGGCACAGATGGGTTACGGCCACCAGAGTCAAGGGGCACGTGTCCCAGCCCCAGCACAGCTGTCCTGGGCTCACAGCCAGCTGGGATGGGGCCTGGTTTTGTAGGGAGCACCTCAGCTGCTCAGGGAGCCATGGAGGGGATGACACAGAGGTGCCAGCGGGTACCCCACACTGTCCCCACACCTCCAAAGCAGTTCTTACGTCCTTGCAGTTCTCCTGCCGGGAGAAGTGGGTCAGCTCCGCATTGTATTGCTCCTGGTCCTCGAGGGCACGGCTGTACTGGCGAGGGCTCAGCTCGCTCGGGTCGATGCTGTTGGCCTCCAGGAAGCGCTGGTAGGCCACGCCAAATGCCTGCCCGATAGCCTGAGCGATGATCTGGGCCTGGAGAAAGAGAGGGGTTGTTCGTGCCCATGGCCAACGGTCTCATGGCCAAACTGGAGCCAACGGCTGCCAGCGCCCTGTGCCCAGCACAGACGCTGTGCCCTGGGAGCTCCAGGGCACCCTGGCTCCTTCCCTGCCTGAATGGGCCCCTTTACGGTGCCAGTCCCCCCCCTTTTCTTGCTGGGTGTGTCACAGAGGTGCTCAGGCTGGGCTCCTTCCCTCTCTATGTGCTTGTCGGGAGCCTCCAGCACAGAGACCCGGAGTACCCGGCCACTACAGCGGGACCGGGCCCAGGACCCCAATGCCATCCTGCCCTCCCGAGGGACTCGTGTGTTGCCTCACATCGGCCGAGTGGAAGACGTGGCAGATCATCTTGTAGAGCCGCTTTTCCTCCGCCACCTCCGACCGCTGAGGCAGTTTCCGGCGTGCCATGAGCACCACAAGGGAGCCAATGTCGGCAATGTAGGAGATGGTCTGGAGGGAATGGTCCATCATGGCCTCCTGGGAAGGGGGACACAGGCAGAGACGTTCAGCCCTCCCCAGCCCGACGGACCCTGTGGGCAGCCCGAGAGCCAGCCAGGCACCACCACAAGCAGGAAGGGTTTGGGTTCAAATGCCACTGTGCCAGGATGCAGCTCAAATGCCTGGCACACGCTGGGCAGAAGCCATGTCTATGCTAAAAAGTACAAACAGCTCCTTCAATCAAGGACTCATCTGTGTCTCTGGGTGCTGCCAGGGGACAAGAGAGCTTACTGTAAAGCAGAAGCTAATCCTGAGGCAAAGAGCTACAGAAGTTTCAAGCCTAGGTTCCCTGGAGCTTGGCCTGGGAACCCAGCAGCTCCCACGCGGCGCAGTTTGCATGAGAAGCCTCGTGCAGCCATGCAGAGAGCTGAGGGTCACGACACATCTGCGTGGGATGGCTGTGGAGTGACATGTCTCCTCCCAGACATGCGTTCTCACCCGTAGGCCATCCTTGGGCATGACCCCACTGGCGTGGGTGCAAAGCAGAGATCCCAAGGGCAAATGGGAAGGTTTCAGCAGTCCCAAACCCAGGCGGGTGCTCCTGTTCCCTGCTCACCTGTGTGTCAGCTGAGAGCACCTTGATCCTCTGTGTGGAGACAAAGAGATCCACCTCCGTCATGGGCTGGGACTCCCCCTCCGGTGCCTGCAGAACAAAGTGCCCAGGAGAGGTCACTGCTGCTGCCAGGACTCCTCTGGGTCCTGCCCCACAGCCGGAAGATCCCCCTGGGCAGGTCCTGAGCGCTGCCCCATGCCCACGAGGGGCTGGGCAGGCTGCAGCCATGCCCCCCTACCCTCCTGCACCTTGATCCTGTCCACCGCCTCCTGGGCCTGTGCCATGCGGACGCTGGTCGGGGGGTTCCTCTCTGAGACCAGCTGCGTGGAGCCCAGGTACTTTGCCCCAAAAATCACACCATCCAGCAGATCCTCTGGGTCACAAGGGCCTGGAACTGAGGCATCGGGAGGGACTAAGCAGGGGCTGGTCCTCCCCACTCTGAAAGCCAGGGGTACCAACTCCTACTGCCTGTTAGCTGCATTCCTACACATGGCAAAGCAGCTCGGTGCTTGGGAGACAGGCTCCCGGCATAACCAGGGCACCAACTCTGACCCCAGCTTCCCCCTTCTCTTGGGCACACCTTGGCATCCTTCTTCTCCCTTCCCAAGCCTGAGCAACCCCCTCCCTGATCCCTGAAGCACCCCATTAGCTCAGCAAAGGGTGACCTGGGATCAAATGAGCCACCTGGAGTCTGCAGCCACATTCCCACCCTGCATGGGCGCAGAGCCAGGTGCTCCCTCCCCAGCTGGGACCCGTGGGCACCCCCCATTCGGGGTCAGAACAGGAGGTGCAGGGTCAGGACTCCTGGGTGCTTTTGCTGCTTGAGCATTGATGCAACTCACCCTCTTTGAAGGCTGCGCAGGAAGACGGGGGTTCCCTGCTCTGCAAAGCAATGAGAGAGCAGGTGAGGCTCTGGCTGGGATCCCAGGGATTCAGCCTGCCTGCCCCACGGCCAGGCTGCCCCTGGAACACCAGGACAGAGAGGGCACAGCGTCCTGAGGCTGGGGGGGGACGCAGGGTCCTGGGGCTGGGGGGCTG